TGTTGTGCCTTCGATCTTGAAGAGCCGACGGCCTCCCTTGCGCTGTATCTCAACCACGCCCCTGCACCCCCTCACGCACCTCATCCTCATTTTCCTCTGTCACCTCTTCCCTTCCCGTTTTCGCTCTCGCGTATTGTTTTCCACCCACTCCCACCTCCCACCTCCTTCCTTAAAGTGAAAAAACGATTCACCCATCTGCACCCCTCACCCACCTCTGTGCACTCCTCTGCACCTGCGCCCTGCAGGTGGTGTGACAGTCGTTTGAGGCGGGCCCCCACCTGGCAACGGTGGGGTCATGCAGTGTGGGGGCGGTGGTGACTGGGAATGCCCCGTCAATCAGACTTTCCCAAAGAAAATGAAACATTCATGCACCGCTCTGTATCCATCTGCACCTCTCACAACCTTTGCAACCCTATTCATCTGCAGGTGGTGCGGCAGTCGTTTGAAGCAAGCCCCCATCTGGCGACGGTGGGATCGTGCAGTGTGGTGGCGGTGGTGACAGGGAATGCCCTCTGGGTGGCCAACGTGGGCGACTGCAGAGCCGTGCTGGGGCAGGTGAGGTGTGAGGAGGTGGGATGTGGGGCAGGTGGGATGTGGGGAGGTGGGATGTGGGGAGGTGGGATGTGAGGAGGTGGGATGTGAGGAGGTGGGATGTGGGGAGGTGGGATGTGAGGAGGTGGGATGTGGGGAGGTGGGATGTGGGGAGGTGGGATGTGGGGCATGTGAAATTTGGGGCAGGTGGAATCTGGAAGGTGAAAACAAAAGCAGCTCTAGTTTTTTGGAGCAAGTTCAAACATGTAGGAAAAACGGTGTCCTATCAAGAACGAGGTGTGAGTAGAAACGACGGAACTCTTTTTGCACGCTTCACCCCAATCTGCCCCCTCCCCTTCCTCAAAGCTCTTCTTTCACCCCGTGCCTCCCCCTCCCTCCCTCCTCCGCCTCCCTCCAGGTGCGCAAGGGAGACGACAACTCACTGGAGTGTCGGGCCCTACAGCTGTCGGTGGACCACAACCTTTCCTTCGCTTCCATCCGAGAGAAGTTCATCGAGGAGCATGCCGACATGCCGGATGCTGTGGTGGAGAAGCGCGGAGGGTTCCGTGTGAAGGGCAAAGTGACGGTGAGTGAGGGTTGGAGAAATTAACGGTGAGTCAAGGTGGGAGAAAGTAACGGTGAGTGCTACTAAGGATGAACATTTGTGTGAGCAGTGTTCATCGAGGAGCATGCTGACATGCCAGATGCTGACATGCCAGATGCTGACATGCCAGATGCTGACATGCCAGATGCTGTTGTGGAGAAGAGAGGGGGGTTCCGTGTGAAGGGCAGAGTGACGGTGAGTGGAGGGCAAAGTGATGGTGAGTTGAAGGAAAAGTGACGGTGAGTGGAGGGCAAAGTGACGGTGAGTTGAAGGAAAAGTGACGGTGAGTTGAAGGCAAAGTGAGTGAAGGTGAGTGCAAAGAAGTGGGACAAGAATGTCCAACAAGACGCCGCTGTTCTGCCTGTCACAAGTGCAAGCCCGAGCCATCCACCTTCCTTTAACTCTCTCTCCCTCCCCCCTCGCTCTTTCTCTCCCCATTCTCCCCTCCAGGTCACCCGGTCATTCGGCGACCTCTATCTAAAGTCCCACGAGTTCAACCGCGAGCCGCTCTTCTCGCGCTTCCGAGTGCCGGAGCCCTTCCACCCACCGCTGCTGTCCTGCGAGCCCAACATAGCGGTGCGCCTGCTGTCGCCGCACGACTCCTTCGTCATCCTCGCCTCTGACGGACTCTTTGAGTTCATCAGCAACCAGGAGGCTGTGGATATTGTCGCCAGCAGCCCCAGGAAGGTGAGGTCCAGTGCGGTGCAGATGGGCTGTCCAGTTATCCTCGCCTCTGATGGGTTGTCTTGTCATCCCCGCCTGTGACGGCCTCTTTGAGTTCACCAGGAACCGAGAGGCTGTGGTTATTGTTGCCAGCAGCGCCCGGAAGGTGAGCTGCTCGTAGTAGCTGCTGCTGTGGTCGAGTGCGGTGCAGAGCGGTGTAGATGGGCTGAAATCGCTCCTGCTCTCGCTCCAGCGCTCCATCGTCACCCCTGCTTGTGGCCCTGCTCTCCCCTCTCCCCCCTCTCCCCACCCCCCCTCTCTCCCCTCATGACCTTTCTTCCGCCCCGCCGTTCCCTCCCCCCTCCTCTCTCCGCACTGCACGCTCCTCCCCCCTTTCAGGACATAGCCCGGCAGCTGATTCGGGCGGCGCTGCGGCGGGCGGCGGAGAGGCGGGAGATCCGGTACCAGGATCTGCTGCGCATGGCGAGTGGGCAGCGGCGGGAGTACCACGATGACATCACGGTGGTGGTGTTCTTCTTTAACCACGAGGCGCGCACCAAACATGCTGCAAAGAGCAACATGACCTGGAACCACGTGAGTGAGAGGGGAAGGGAAGTGAGGGGAGGTGGGAGGGGAAGATGGGGGGCAGCGGCGGGAGTACCACGATGACATCACGGTGGTGGTGTTCTTCTTTAACCATGAGGCCGGGACCAAACACAACAAGAGCAACCTCACATGGAACTATGTAAGAGGGGGGTTGAGCAAGCTGTTTCATGGTTGGATTTGTGTTCGTGGAAGGTGGGGTTGAGGGAAGCAGGGAGGAAGGGGAGAGGGAGGACGGGATAGAAGGAGGGGGGTGGGATGGGAGCAGGAAGGGAGAGGGGAAGGGGAGGGAGGGTGGGTGAGGGGAGGGAGGGGAGGGAAGGGAGGTGAGGGGAGGGAGGGGAGGGAGGGGAGGTGAGGAGAAGGAGGAGGGGGAGGAGGGAAGGGAAGGGAGTGGCAGCGGAGGGAGTACCACGGCGACATCACGGTGGTGGTGTTCTTCTTTAACCACAAGGCGCGCACCAAACACAACAAGAGCAACCTCACATGGAACCCCCGAAGAGGGAGGGGGAGAGGGAAGCAAGGAGGGGAAGAGGGAGGGCAGTGGCAGTGGGAGCAGCAGGGCACGGCGACATCACAGTGGTGTGGTGGTGTTTCTCATGAGCCAGGAGGCCAGGACCGACCAAGCATGCCAAGAGCAACCTCACGTGGAACCATGTATGTGTGTGTGTGTGTGTGCGTGAGTGCGCATGTGTGGCGGGTGCGTGTGGGTGTGGGTGTGTGAGCGTGCATGTTGCACATGTGCCTGCAGGACATCTCCTTCAAGGCCGGCAAGGGTGCCTGCCTCTGCTGCCCCTCATATGCATCCCCATACCATCCCCTCATCTCCTCTGCATGTGACGACCTGACCTCCCTGCCTGCTGCACCCCTACCCGCAGGACATCTCCTTCAAGGGCGGCAAGGATGCTCGACTCGCCCTCAATGCCGCTGCAGCAGCTGATCTCACCTCGCCCTCAAAACAAGGAGCCAATGACGCGCGAGCAGGCCTTTCCTCTGCGTCAGGCTCCCTCAACCGAACCACCTCGTCCGTGCCTGAGGATGGGGTGCTTGAAATGGAGCTTCCAGCTCCGGCCCGAACCAACAGCCGAACCTTCTTAACATGGTCTCAGTGAGGCTGGCTTCGGGCAGGTTGGGGTGGATCATGGTGGACGATGGCAATGCCTTGATCCTTTCCCTGGAGAGACCTTGATAGGCTAAATGCTTTGTTGGTTGTATAAATAAAGCGCTCACGTGGAGTGCTTGGATGCAGCTATTGGCGCTTTGGGGGTATGACGTAAGGCACTCGAAGTGCCTTAAGAAGCTTATTCGTCGGTAGGTGGAAGTGAGTATTGCGAAGAGTTAAAACCAGCCGCTATATACTAGTGTGTATTGTTGTGTGAATATTGCCACGCACACGTATATTGTGAATACTACGTTTATGTAACTATTTATCAGATTTAAACCATGTATGATCTTATGTCTAGTTCTATATTTGGCGAAGTGTAACATCACCTTTTTTCTGTTTGACTGATGGCGGCTCGTCAGTTTCTAGAACCAGAAATGTGCGCCTCGTCAGTAGCACGTCACATGGCATCAGTGGGAGGGAGCTGAATTCAAAAACTTCAGTTGCCCGAACCCGCTTTTCAAGTACAGTAGCAACAGTTTGAGTACACTGCAGTGATGTTAGGTTTCCTGACGACGACTGAACGTGGGTGTCATTTTATTCCCGCGGATCACACACACCTATCCACACCACTTTACAGTACCAGCCTTGGCTTGAATAAAAACGTAGAAGCCTGAATTCTCGGCACGGGAGCACCTTCCGTTGGTGTCTGAAACACAGGCGTCGAAAAAACGTCGAAAGATGCCCAGAGAGATGAACTGTCAGATTTTTTGGAGCTTTGGAATATCCGACGGCTCACGTAGCTGCACATTTATCGACATCTTGGGACGTTTCACTTCAGCCAAGTTTTCCGAAACCCCACTGACTGACAGGCCCACGTGGTTTTCGGAACTAAGAGCACCCAAGCCGCTCCCGCCTTTGGCGCAAAGCAGCGCTTCAGCCGGCAAGTGCAGCCACTCAAAGCGAGTAAGACTCAGCGTCAGCATTCTTCGTTCGCCAATTCACGAAAGATCGTTCCAAGGCTTCGAAAGCTCGCAGCAGTGACTCACTGCTCCGAGCTCGAAGCTCGCAAGCTGGCTCCGCAAGCTGAGCTCGCAAACACCAGCGTAGACGATTTCCTGCCCCGCTGGCGGTGTATCAGTATTTTAATCCGTGGCAATCCGCGTGGTTTCGAACAGCTATCAGGTTGCGAGCGGTTCGATCAACGCGTAGTACTAGCTCTCAGCCGTTGTACCTCGTCGGATCAGCTTTTGAAGTCCTTCCTCTCAACGCCCGATGCTACTGTCGAGGATTCCGAAAGATCTCATTCGGCCGCTACTATATCATCATTCTTGATTAGCGAGACGTGTAGACCACGTTTCTCCCAAGAGTTAGGGCCCTTGGGACCTCACGTTCAAAGATCATTCAGCTTCTACTAGACTAATTCGCGAGACGTAGACTCCACACGTGAGGGTGATTGATGCACCACGCTATTAGCACAACTAGTTGCACCGAGCCATGGGCGCGGTATCGGATCAGCACATATCGAAGCACCGGTCGAGCCAGCGGCAGAAGCGGAGAGTGATGCCGTCGCTGCGGCTGGCGCTGCTGGTGCTCGGGGTCGTCTCCGCCGCCTACGCGTGCCTCGTGCGCCCGCACTGCGCGCCCGCGACCCTGCCGCTATCAAAGGAGGTACGGGGTTAACAGCCTGCTGTGCTATGAGGTAACTCACAACCTTCTCTGTCGTCTCCGCCGCTTACGCGTGCCTCATGCGCCCGCACTTCGCGCCACCGGCCCCGCCGCTGTTAAAAAACGTAGGCGCTGCTGGGGACGTTCTTAGCCTTTGAGAATTCTCGCGAGTCACGTGTGCTTCGTGCCTCGTGCGCCCACGGCACTGCGCGCCGCGACCTTGCCGCTGTCCAAGGAGGTACGCGCACGAGCACGCCGCAAGAGGTGGGGGACCCTGCTGTTGGGGGCGCCTTTCTCCGCTTTGGGTAGAGCTTGAGAGCTAGTTGGGAAGAGGCGGGGGGGAATGGAGAGCGGTGGGGGAACCAGACAGATGTGGGGAAGTAAGGAGGTGGAGAAGTGAGAGGTAAGAGGGGTTCTGAGGACGGGGATTGAGAGTAAGGAGGGATTTGGATCGTGTTCGGTTCGTGCATCACCGTCTCCTCGCACTGCTTTTCGCCCTGTCCTTTCCCATCCGTTTCCTCCACTTCTCAAACGGCCCGTTCATTTTTAGTCCACTTCTCTGTCTCTCTTCCCTGTTTCTTCAGCCTCCGCGCTCCTCCCCTCCCCCACCTCCCCCCTCCTTTCTGTTCCCACGCGGTCCCCCACGAGCTAGAGCTGCGGCAATGGACGGGCGCAAGCCAAATTCCCCCGGTATCCCCTTCCCCTCCCCCCCCCCAACCCCCCCTTCCCCCCCTCCCTCCCCCTCCCCCGCCCTTTCTTCCCCAATCCAGATTCGTCCCTTCCCCTTTCCAACCCCCTCTCACCTCCTCCCCCCTCCCCCCCAATTTGTAACACTCCGCCCGTACCTTCCCCCGTGTGCGCCCGCAGCAACTGCAGCTGCAGATGATGCGCGCAGAGGGGGAAAGGCTTCCCCTTGTCCCTCCCCCCTTCCTCACATCCCCACCCCCAAATTTGAAGTATCCGCCCATACCTCCCCCCATGCGCGCCCACAGGAGCTGGAGCTGCTGCAGATGATGCGCGCAGGGGGTAGGCTTTCCCTTTTCGTTTTCCCCCTTGCTCCCTTCCCCCCCCCCCGCCCGTGCCTCCCCCCATGCGCGCCCACAGGAACTGGAGCTGCTGCAGACGATGCGCGCAGAGGGAAAAAGACTTTCCAACTTTCCTTCCCCCGTCCTCATCTTCCTCTCCCCTTACCTCCCGCCATGCGCGCCCGCAGGAGCTGGAGCTGCTGCAGACGATGCGCACGGGTGGGGGCGCAACGGTGAAGGTGGTGGCGGTGGGAGAAGGTGGAGCGGGAGGGGGAAGGGGAAGGGGAGGCGGAACGGAAAACGGGGAAGTGGAGGTGGGCGGAGAGGAAGGTGATGGGGGAGGGGAGGCAGCGAGCCTGGGGTACATGGCGGATCACCCTGACCTGCTGCAAGCTCTGCTACACACCGTGAGTGCTGCGCGCTGCTGGGTTGTGCGAGTTGATGCCTGCTGGTGGGTGCTGCGTGGGGGAGGGCAGCAGCGAGTCTGGGTTACATGGTGGATCACGCTGGCCTGCTGCAAGCGCTCCTGCTCACTGTGAGCGCTGCAGTCCAGCCACACGCACCACTATGCAACTTGACTGCCCACGTGCTTTCTTCTTGTATTCTCAAGTTTTTCTTGACTTCCCACGTGCTTCGTGACTGTCTTAACGCTCACCCAGCAGCAGGAGGAGTCGGAGGGGCTGTGGGGACCAGTGCAGCAGGAGGAGTGGAGGCAGTGCGACGCACCTTCCAGGAAATACCGCGGTGGGTTGAATGGAGTGGGCATGTTTTGCTGCAGTACGTGCTTGTCGCGTTCCCTCCTTTCACATTGCCTCCTTCGTTTTCCACCCTTCTCGTTCCACTTGCTCTCGTCGTTATCACAACCCCTTCCCCACAGTCCATCGGGTAAGGATGGATGGATCATCCATCACCCCCCTCCCCCATCCCCCCCACCCTTCCCCCCCCTTCTCGATGAACATCCCTTCGTGATATGAGCCGTGTTTTGAGTCGACTCAAAACATGGATCATCCATCAACCCCCCCCCCCCCCCCTCCCCTTCTCGATGAACACCCCTCCCTCCCCTTCCATCTCTCCTCTTCCTTTCTCCTTCCACTTCCCTCTCCCACGTTCCCCCCTCTCTCTCACCCGCTCCACCCCAAATCAGACGCGCCACTGCTGGAGTCAAACGGCTATCTGCAGGTGTTTCTGGGCGGGGCTGCTCCTTGCTCCCCTTCCCAAACTCCCTTACCCTAAATCCCTTCCTTTTTTCCGTCCTCACGCCCTTCCTCTCCTCCCTCTGTCTGCCCCCTCACCCCAATCAGAGGCACCACCGCCGGAGTTAAACGGCTATCTGCAGGTGTTTCTAGACGGAGGGCTCAACCAGCTGTGTACATTTGACGCCCCTTTAAGTACCCTGTCCGCCCCATCCCTCATATCCCTCCGCTTCTCCCCCTATCCACCCTCTCACTTCCCTATCAGACGCGCCACTGCCGGAGTCAAATGGCTATCTGCAGGTGTTTCTAGACGGAGGGCTCAACCAGCAGCGCATCAGCGTGAGTGGGTGGGTAGCCTTGTCCTCTTGTCACAGCACACGGCTCTAAGTGGTAACGGTTTCGCTTGTAGTAAGTCAGCCGAGTCAATCCCGTGGGGCCCGAAGCAGGTGGAGAAGGCACATGCTCGATGCATGCAGGTGGAGAAGGCACATGCTCGATGCATGCAGGTGGAGAAGGCACATGCTCGATGCATGCAGGTGGAGAAGGCACATGCTCGATGCATGCAGGTGGAGAAGGCACATGCTCGATGCATGCAGGTGGAGAAGGCACATGCTCGATGCATGCAGGTGGAGAAGGCACATGCTCGATGCATGCAGGTGGAGAAGGCACATGCTCGATGCATGCAGGTGGAGAAGGCACATGCTCGATGCATGCAGGTGGAGAAGGCACATGCTCGATGCATGCAGGTGGAGAAGGCACATGCTCGATGCATGCAGGTGGAGAAGGCACATGCTCGATGCATGCAGGTGGAGAAGGCACATGCTCGATGCATGCAGGTGGAGAAGGCACATGCTCGATGCATGCAGGTGGAGAAGGCACATGCTCGATGCATGCAGGTGGAGAAGGCACATGCTCGATGCATGCAGGTGGAGAAGGCACATGCTCGATGCATGCAGGTGGAGAAGGCACATGCTCGATGCATGCAGGTGGAGAAGGCACATGCTCGATGCATGCAGGTGGAGAAGGCACATGCTCGATGCATGCAGGTGGAGAAGGCACATGCTCGATGCATGCAGGTGGAGAAGGCACATGCTCGATGCATGCAGGTGGAGAAGGCACATGCTCGATGCATGCAGGTGGAGAAGGCACATGCTCGATGCATGCAGGTGGAGAAGGCACATGCTCGATGCATGCAGGTGGAGAAGGCACATGCTCGATGCATGCAGGTGTGTCCGGATGGAGAGGGCTCAACTCAACTCAACCAGCACCGCGTCAGCGTGAAGGGGTGGGTGGCCTTGCCTCAGCGAGCATCAAACTTACAGGAGCGCATCAGCGCCCTCCACGGGCTGATGTGAGGCTGGCAGCGACTCATGCATCCCCGTTCCACACCCGTCAGCACAACCATGCCGCCCTCTCTCCTATCCCTCCTTACGTCAAGCCTCCCCAACTCACCGCGTGTGCAGCATGTCGTGAGCTGGCAGCTGCCCTGTGGCTCACGACGCATCCGCGCTTGTCATCCGCATCCGCGCTTGTCATCCGCACCAGGAATGCAATCCAACGCACTTGCCACGTTTCTCCTGCTCCACTAAATGCCACGCAATGCCACTAAACGCCACTCAGTGCCAATTAACGTCACTCACGCCACTTACCTCTCTCCCCATCCTCTCCACCTCCCCTCTCCCACACCTCCTCCCAACCAGGTGTGCAACGCAGTGGCAGTGGCTCGCCAGCTGGACGCCAGTCAAACGG